AAAAGATTAAAAAGCATCAGTAATGATAGACACTTGATCAAAATGAATGGAAAACCAGTCAGATAGAATTTCATAGAACTAGAACTGCACAGCATTCTGGGAAATGTAGGCAGAAGAAAGCATTCAGCTTCTCAAATTCTCAGTGCCAAGCTTATCAAGGTTGGTAGCATCGCTGACCTGTTTTTAAAGTGTAAATGTTATGTTTAAATAGACTCATGGGTACAATTGAAGCCCTTTTTTCCCCCAGATTCTTATTATAAATAGGTGAAACAAAAAAAAAAATATTAATAGTAGAGAAAGACTAATATGAATAGCTTAAAATTTGATGCATCTTTCAGCCATGTTGCACAGCTCCTCTCTGAGGATACTCTGGGATTTGAGTTTTTGCTATAAACTCTGTTTTTTAGTGCTTGTGATATTGTGAAGCAGTTGCATTGCTGCATGGTCTGCTGCTTTGACAGAAACCTCATCCTTTTCTCACCCTGACCATCTTCCTGTGACAAAGGTTAAACTATTTCCCCCCCTAAACTAGTCAATATCAAGTGCTACGGTAAACGGAGATTTTAATCGAAAACAAACAGAATTGTAATTTTCTGTAGTGGTTTGCAATAAATACTTAAGTTAGTAATTGTCCTGACTCTAATCTAATTTCTATTTTTTGCTCATTTCTATTACCGTGCTTCCACTTCCTGGCTGATTGTTAAAAGTTTTGCTCACATTTTGAAGCAAGCGTTTGGCTTGACTGAATTAAATGAGGCGCTCACATTTCTTTAGTTAAGCCGAAATCAAGAGACCGGTTATCAATGAGTACTATTGTTAAGGAGCTGCTGCTGTTAGGTTGACCTTGTAAAAGTGTCACAGACGGCCTGACTCAGCCGCGGAATGACCCACTTTTCTTACCCGTCATATGTTCATGCATATCAGAGTCAGCATTGAGGATATGCTGCCATACGACCAGAAAGAAGCCTCGGTCACATGAATTTCGCTGCATCTGGGGAAGAGTTCGGTTTCTTCTCGCTTCCACAGGCACTTTCTGTTATCTTATTTAATGGTTTGGCTTGAGTTGTGAGGGTTGCGGTTTAACCATACAGTGACTTAAAACTGTGGAATATCTCAGCCAATCCGAGGATATTAAGTGTGCACAATTAATTTAAGCCTCTTTGTTTGTGTGTAAAATATCTAGATATATCTGTGTTGGATGAGCTGAACAATAAACGAGCACCTTGCCATGCATCTCTAATCATCCGGTTTCTTTAGGTAGTTTTGCTTCCTCCTCTTGGCGATGTCACTAGGGTATTTTCCGCAGTTCACCTTCACATGAACTTGACTTACTCATGTTCCTCCTTCTCCTCCTCCCAACAGAACATCAACATTCCTGCCACATTTTTAGGCTCTTGACAGAATATCTCCCATATTTTACCTTTGAAGGGGCCTTAAGGAATGCCATTTGGTGTTAGCTGTAGCTCTGTCGGTGCTGCTTTAACAATGTGATTGTTTTTAAAACCATTCTGTTAGTTCTTTGGCTATCTCTAGTTACAGTCCAGTTTTAATATTTTGAGTAATTACCATTACAGCCATGTAGGTTTCTATAAAAAAAAAAATCTGAGAAAGTAAGTTTTTTTTTTTAACAATGTTGTCTTATTTAGAAACATAAATGAGAAGAAATATCCCTATTACTTATTGACAGAGTGTGAAAATGTAAAAGGCTGGCCACTTTGATTGCATTTTACAATGACTGAATACTTTAGTATGCATTAGGAACCTTAAGAAATTATACTCATGCAAAATGTGCAAGTAGGAAGCCAGAAATTAGCAGATACAACTTTTAAGCGGCAGTGGAAACATAAGGACCTGAGGGTGGTGTTTTTTCAACCGAGGGCTAATAATAGACTCTGAAGTGCTTTTGAGATCAGGCCATAGGAGACACACCCAAAGCAGGCAGAAAATTTAGAAGTGAAGTTCCCTTTTCATGCACGATTAAACATTCTGACTCCGGAAATGAAACCGCTCAGTCACCCCCAGGGTGGTGGTGGTTAGCTGAACTGCTCTAAACAAATGAGAAGGTGTTAAACCAGGATGGGAGGTTTCTGTTCAGTTTTCTGCTTGTAAATATCTCCATCTGGCCGTGTTGGAGCAGAGTATAAACTCAGCTTTAAAGATTTCACTCTAAAGTCTTAACTGCAGCAGATGACAGGAAGTGGCAGAGGGGAAAGTGTCCTGAGCAGTAAAATGGGGTCTTGCTGACATGGTTGGGAAAGAACGCAACTCTAATCGAGGCCTCGCAACTGAGAAATAATACACACCATTGTTGTTCAGGGCAGGCGTGGGCCTCTGCCTGCACAGTTATTTCCCAATAGGCATGCTTGCTGCTGTTCACATCTTCTGTAACAGTAACAGATTCCTGCTTCGTCAGCTTACCAAGCACAGAATCATTTTTGACTCCCACTGACCTTTTTGAGTGAGACTAAAAGGTTCAATTCGTCTAACTTTTGACATATTATATTTGCTACCCATAGAGAAAATCAACCCCACTTTTCCATAATGTCTGTTTTCATGTTCGGTTTTACTAAAGCAGAGAGTTTAGCAGCGTGCAGGTTTTCTTGATACATGACAGGATGTAGACGACTCTCATGAGAGATCAATGTTTAGCCGTCTTGCCTCACACGGCCCAGCCTCCAGAGGATGTGGTTACTTCCTGTAGATAAGTTCTACACTGAGACCGAGCCAGACTGGCAGAGTTTATCAGTGCAGTGTGGAACCATGGGGCAGGGTTTTTACTGAATTCTGCTCATTTTCTTTTGAAAAGCAGTACAGAAATAAATTGGCGGTGGCCACATCACTTGAACTGCCTTGCTATTTATACCACTTCATATTTAGAGGTTTTACTACATTATATAGCAGATCTGTGAGGATTCTCAGTCATCTAGGTCATGGTCAAGCTTGAAAAGTCTAGGAAACTGGACCTGAAGTTTTCTAGAGGACGTTTCACCTCTTAACCAAGAGGCTTCTAGGGGGGAGTGGAGAGCACTGAGAGTAATATACTGTAGGTCTAACAAAGAGTTGAGCGCTGGTTATACTCCCCGCAGCAGTGTGTCGCTTGACGCAGACATTTTTGATTTATGCTCAATTTTGAGCGTGGTCTGCGCTATGTGCTGTGGGGGACAACAGAGGGACATGAGGGCCAAATATAGTGGGGATCTAGGTGGAAAAAGGGTCTCAGGATTCTCGCGCACCTCGCTCTTCTAGCTGGTGCAACTTCACGAGTCGTTTTAAAAACAAAAGAAGCTGGCCTCATGTCTGCGACACTGTCTGCTGTCACCTACAAGTTGGGAGAGGTGCAGCAGAGTGTCTGCGGAGGGGGCGGGGACGTCTTTTTGTTCACTGCAACACCTAAGCAGATGACCTAGTTTTGAAGTATAAATCAGCCTTTAGGGAGGACAAAAAGTGACTTTGATCCCTCTCACTGGATTGACCAAGAAGGACACATCAGGATGTTAAGCTGGGCTTACACTGTATGATTTTTTGGTCCTTTTCGGGCCGATTCTCCAGTTGTGCATGAATCTTTCGATCGGGCAGACTTTCAGCCTGATCGTGCGTCGTGTAGTATACAGGGGGTTACGAGGGCCGATCAGCCTCTCACAACCACCTCCCTATGGAATGGAAGGTCGAGAGAAAATCAAACATGTTTGAAATTCAGTCTACCGTTGTAATTTGGTGGTGGGCAAATCGTGCAAACAAGGATTCTTCTTCTTCTTCCTCTCAGGTGAAATCACAGAAGCATGGTGGGGGTGCGAGTGAAATTGAGTTCATTCTGTAAAATTGACAGACTGTAGTAGCCACGTTCGCTCAGCCATGTCTTTGTCCAAATACGTCGTTGCCTTTCCTTTTTAGGGCTTTCAGCACACAAAAATTGCACATATTGCCAAGGAGCGAGGTTCTCTCTAGTAAGCTTCATATCCCTCTTCTACCCGTTTGGCTTCCGGATAGACCAGTCAGAGTAGCGCCATCTCACTGCGGAGCTGAGACGGGGTTTTTAGACGTACAGTGTGAGCAGGTACTGTAGATCGCATCAGAGTGTCAGGCCAAACAGTGTGAGAACATACATCGTGAACTGTGAACTCCCCTTGTACGATGAAATCGCAGGATTTCGTCGTACTGTGCAAGCTGTAGCTGAGTGCAATGATTGAAAAAATGGTACAGTGTATGCCCGGCTTTAATGGTCGTCAGAGGATTCTGATGGGTGTTTTAATCTCTTGTCAGAGTGGTTTCGGTTATACAGTATGCCCCACTGAAATGTAAGACCGACAGTATATTTAACTCTGTGCTCCCACCATTAGTTAGAACTAAAGAAGCCTCTTGGATGAAAGGCGAAACATCTTCTAGAAAACTTCACGTCCATTTGCCTAAATTGAACTTTTTCAAGCATACATTACATAGGCACAGTTTTTTTTATAGTATTTCTCAGCTAGCTCTAAGCTAACTATCCATGAGTATGCAGCTTTGTAATAAGGTTTTAGAATCTAGTCTCAATCACTGTCCGCACTGATGAAAATCATGCTGAATGCTTGACACTGTGTAGCTTCATGGAGTCGGACATATTTTCTGATCTATTCAGCTTACCTTAGATTAGACTATTATTTGGGCCTATAATGGTCAAGCTTCCATTAAAGTTTTGAAAAAAAGATGTTGACATAACAGCAGAAGGTAACATTCTCAGAGTGTACTACTCCCCTGATGGAGCAGTGCACTCTGAATCATACGCATTTGGTACAAGCACAATATAACAATGTTTAATGAAACATCCTTTATGTCTTTATGGTTTATTTGCTTGTAAAATAATTTTTTTCTGAAACATATTTGGAAAGAGTTCAGATTGGTGTCTTACATGTTGTCATCTTGAGGATCTCAATCAGATTTGTGGTGGAGTAATATGCTTTAAATTAGTCAAAAATAATATCTGTGATGCATGTATTAAAATATATTTTTCTTTTCTCAATCAGACCAGTGTGCGTGTTACCACCATGGATGCTGAGCTGGAGTTTGCCATTCAGCCCAACACAACAGGGAAGCAGCTGTTTGACCAGGTAAGATCAATCTTGACATGACAGAGAGTCTATGCTAACAGGTTAACTTGATAAGTTTACCCTGATGTTAACGTATGACTGGTTAAGACTGATTAAAATAAAGCCATAGTTTGGTAATAAAGAAGCTGCTTTTTATTTTCCACTTAGATAGTGTAACTTATTGTTAAGTTAAGAGCTGCAACTAATGATTATTTTGCAAATTGTTAATCTCTACATAATTTTTTCCAATTGATCAATTCATATTCGGATAGCCCAACATTCTTTAAAGATTTTTTTTACGGAATTAAATCAGGTGAAACTTTTCCACTTGAGGAATTTTGGATAGAGCATATTGACAGACAAAATTTAAGCATCTTAAATGCAACTGTTTTTTATATATATTTTTACATTCTTGATGTACGTAATTACTTTTCTATGTGGGTCACTCTGAAAGCTATAATCAAGTTCTAGAGCCTCTATACTCCAGTTAACGATTTATCGATTACTATATTAGTTGACGATTATTTCAATAATCGATTAATTATGATTCGTCCAATTAATAGTTTCAGCCCTAGTTGAGTTACAACTCATTGTTGCCCAAAGCAATCTTCATACGAAAACATGAATAAATACAGAAAGATAAGAATGTATTTAAAATTAAAGCATTTTCCTTTAAGAAACAAAAGCTAATGGGATAACTGTGGATCCAGTACACGATACATCAATATTTCTTGGCCGACAGTTGCATTGTTGACAAATACATGAATGTGTTTTCCACTTCATCAATCAGCAGCTACGTTGCAAGATCATGTAATTTGCATGTATTGCCGCTCCCTCTGTTTGCATCCAATTTTAATGTAGTATGAGTCTTGTGTAACATAAAGAATCAGCTCAAATGTATATGTTGGGCATTGGTTAGACTGATGTCAAAATAATCAGTATTGACGTTGGCATTAAAAACAAAACCTGCATTGGTTGCTCTCTGTTTTGGTGTTAAAAGAATATTCAGCTGGTAGTAGGTCATGGCACCAGTACATCAGAGCTGACCTGAACCATCGACCAAAGCCTATGGCTGCACCCTCTGAATGGCTGACATGAGATGCTAAGTTCCTCCATTACTGTAGGTTCAGTGGACCTATGGATATTGTAGCCCTATTTCTCTATATGTTGATGGTCTTGGCATGCAGTAGGGTTGCCTGCTGTTGTAGCCAATCTGCTTTAAGGTTTGACACGTAGTCTTTCTCCATACCTCGTATTCACCTCGTCTTGATTCATAAATGCTTTAAATTGCTATCCTGTGATTGGATGATTTTCTGTCTGTGCATCAGACAGTTCCTAGGGTTTGTATTCTATGTATCCTCTCTACTGAAGGTGAGGGACGCCCCTAAAAGGTGGCTAAAAATTGCAGAAACTAGATAGCCACACCTGCAGTCAGTTTCAACCAACATGAATGTCGTCTCACATGTGAGGAAACCAGAATATTAATATATAAAAAAACCCACAGAGTGACGGCCTTTTCAAACTAAACATGTCTTTGTGTTTACTAATTTTACAACTTTTGGATATTTTAAGGTTGTAAAGACCATTGGATTGAGAGAGGTTTGGTACTTTGGACTCCAGTACCAGGATACTAAGGGTTTCTCTACTTGGCTCAAGCTCAATAAGAAGGTGAGCTCTTCGACTTCTTTTTCCTTTATTTCTTTTTTCTTTTCTTTTACCACCTTGTATTCTTTCCCTCCTCTGACTTTGCTTTTTTATTTTAGGTGACAGCCCAGGATGTGAGAAAGGAAAGCCCCCTATTCTTTAGGTTTCGTGCCAAGTTCTTCCCTGAGGATGTCACTGAGGAGCTGATCCAGGATGCCACACAGCGGCTCTTCTTCCTGCAGGTGAAGGAGGCCATCCTAAACGACGATATCTACTGCCCCCCAGAGACGGCGGTGCTCCTGGCCTCTTATGCCGTGCAGGCCAAGTTCGGCGACTACAACAAGGAGGTGCACACATCAGGCTACCTGAGCAGTGAAAACCTGCTCCCTCAGAGGTAACAAAGGCTTTTATTTATTTTTTTTGTCATCACACAATCTAATGGTTTATGGTGGTCCTCTTAATGATACATGGATGTTTGGTTTTCCCAGAGTTCTGGATCAGCACAAACTCAACAAGGAGCAGTGGGAGGAGAGGATTCAAGTGTGGCACGAAGAGCACAAGGGCATGATGAGGTGACACATTTGCTTCATTGTTTAGAGCTAAATTTGTTATTTTACATCATTTCTCCTTTTTTCTTTGGTCTGTAAAAGGAAAATATTTTAATTCTGTCAAACTTCAGTTTAAATGTGACATCGATTACTTACATGTACCTAGAGAAAGAGAGCAGCTTCCACAGATTTACCTTTGTGCTCCAACAAGTCTCCAAAGCATGACCAAAAGCTAGCGCTTATGTGTCCACAGAGAGGAATCCATGATGGAGTACCTGAAAATCGCCCAGGACCTGGAAATGTATGGAGTCAACTACTTCAACATCAAGAATAAGAAAGGCACTGAGCTGTGGCTGGGAGTGGATGCTCTGGGCCTCAACATTTACGAACAGAGTGACAAGTAAGTTATTTAGTTTTCCCCTTGGTTTTGGTTTTAATGCTTTAAAACGGGGCAGGTTGGAGGTTTTCTATGAACATGTGACAGATATCGAAGCTTTTGAGAAGCTCCAATGGTAATGAAGAATTGGCAACATTTAAATTTAACCGTGACCCACACATCCTGGTTCTGCTGGTAGAGTTGTGTAGTAAATGCAAAAAATAAATTCCTTTTTTATTGACACGGCAACATCTATCACCCATTTGAAAATGTAGTAGAATTTGCCTTTTATGTAATATAACTTTTTTCATATCCAAGGGGAAAAGAAAGCCATCAAATCTTCCTTCAAATTTATAAATTGAAATAAAGTATGATTGATACTTTCTGGATATAATTTTTTTTTGGTTTAATTTGTGACTTTAGTAAAAATTATTTTGTTTACATTCAATATTTCAAATAAAGGCACAGATTTACGGGCTAAATTATTCATTCTACGGTTATTGGATCATAATATATATAAGCATATATATAATTAATGCCAATCTTTTTTATACATGTGTGACTTAAATGTTCAGGATCTTCTCCACATAGAACTGCTGTAACAACCTCGATGTTTTACATCTGAAATGGCCAATAACCAATTTGGAATGTCTTTACCGACTTAGACTTAAATTTATTGTCATTGTTTACTAAATTAGATTTTCCTTTTTGTGCAGCAGTGATCCAATGTAAACTTTGTGGGAGAAAAAACCTCAAAACGCATTGATATGAATCTTTAAAAAACATCAACATCACCAATATTTTTTCTTTATGTAATTTTAGTGCTAATAACGGAAGGAAAAGATAAGATGGCGATAATATTGTGCATCCCCATTGTCACTAATTGTTTTCTTAAAAGTTTCATATATAAATTGTTATACATTGTGCAATAAAAAGTTAGTTATAAAAAGTAAATGTCACCCCCCCCCCCCACACACACACACACACCTCTAAGTTTGAAAGGACAATAACTTGAATACAATGAGAGGAGTGATTATTATAGGGACTGTTGTTTCATCCATGTATTTTAAGCTCTTTTTCTTATTCTCTAACAGAATGACGCCTAAAATTGGATTTCCTTGGAGCGAAATAAGGAATATTTCCTTCAACGATAAGAAGTTTGTCATTAAACCAATTGACAAGAAAGCACCAGTATGTTAACTGTTAATGTAAAAAAAATATCTTTAAAAATATGTTGTTGTTTTTTTTCCAAGTCTATATTTGACCTTTGTCTTTTGCTAATTGTTTGTAAACCGTAGGACTTTGTATTCTACGCTCCAAGGCTGCGAATCAACAAACGCATCCTGGCTCTGTGCATGGGCAACCATGAGCTGTACATGCGCCGCCGCAAACCCGACACCATCGAGGTACAGCAGATGAAGGCGCAGGCTCGGGAGGAGAAGAACCACAAAAAGATGGAGAGGTAGGAGTGAAGAAATGTGGAATTTTCCACACATTTAGTCGGTTTAGTTGTTTCAAAAGTTGCGTTTATTAAAACCCTGCATATGGAATATGGCAAAAAAAATAATTATAATCCCAACACACCTTCTCCTGTTTCCTTTAGAGCTCTGTTGGAGAATGAAAAGAGGAAAAGAGAGGTTGCAGAAAAAGAGAAGGAAAAGATTGAAAAAGAGAAGGAGGAGCTGATGGAGAGATTAAAGCAGATTGAGGATCAGACCAAAAAAGCCCAGCAAGGTTGGAAACATCTTAGAAATCAAAGAACTAAAATCAGCAAATTCTTGCTCCATTTACATTTTGATGACCTTTAATTTTGTTTGTGTGCTCAGAACTGGAGGAGCAGACTCAGAGGGCTCTGGAGCTGGAGCAGGAGAGGAAGCGTACTCAGGAGGAGGCCGAACGTCTGGAGGCTGATCTGCGGGGAGCTGAGGAAGCCAAAATGGCGCTGCTGCAGCAGTCAGAGAACCAGATGAAGAACCAAGAGCATCTGGTCAGTGCACAGATACGTTATGTGGTGTCTTAAAAAGTGTGCTGACAATTTCAGCTACCAGAAAACACAAGTTTTTTCTTTTTATTGCAGGCCACAGAGTTGGCTGAACTGACTTCAAAGATCTCTCTTCTGGAGGATGCTAAGAAAAAGAAGGAGGAGGAGGCGAATGAGTGGCAGCAGAAGGTGTGGTTCTACTTTAACACATTTTCTTTATAGGCTGCACAGTTCTATAGATGTAAAGACGAAGTTTAACTATAATAAGAGAAGCTCATTGAGCCTTTAGAGGCAGTTTACTTGGTAACCGTCCATTCACATGTTTTCTGAAACCAATCCTGAAGCAGTTCTAAGGAGCTCGTTTTATCCAAGCTGAAGGCTGAAAGTTGCCCTTCAGAATATTTAGAATTTAACATTCCAAAAAAATGTTTTACACAAAAAGATGTTTAACATTCCTTTAGTGGAAAAATGTGCCAAAGCTGAGAGATCTTGTCTCTTATCTGCTGAAAGGCACTGAAGATATGGAGAATCTTCAGGGTTTTTTTAGAAGCTGATAAGTCATTTTAACTACACACTGCCAAACTTTACTCAATGTAGTTTTAATCAGCTTAACTCAGAAACGATAATGCAGTCCGCCTACTTTCAGATTTGTTTCCTCAGTATTTTCCATTTTACATGTCTTAGCATAAGAAATATGTAAATGTGAAATTAAGAGCATTCACTGACAACATTTCCCCCTCCCATGAGCAAAAAAAAAGGAAAAGAGATATACTGTAGAGCCACCATGTGGTGAAAAAAGAGAAGGCAGATATGTAACAATAGCAGGAGCTATAATTGAAAGTTTTAGGTTTAGGTTTTAGATATTTTTGTTTCTCCTCTGATTACTTTAGATGAAAGAAAATGTGCATTGCAAACTGCATTCTGTAGTGTGGGATTTTCCTAACAGTTGGAATACGCTATTTCCTTGTTTTGTTTTGAACAGGGCTATAACTATTAATCCAGGTTAAAAGAATGACATTAAGCATAATTTAGAAAAATTACGATTGTCTTTGTTTTCTCAAGGTAGTTCATTTTGTGTAGAACAGGCAGGTCCAGAGTCGGTCCTGGAGGGCCGATGTGCTGCAGGTTTTAGATGTCTCCCTGCTTTAGCAAACCTGCTTTCTTTGATTGCTGATTAACAGGCTTATTGTTGGACTGCTATTATCTAGATCAGGTGCGTTAAAGCAGGAAACACTCTGAATCCTGCAGGGAAACAGCATCAGCTTCTGACATCCCTGCTGTAGAACAAGTCAGGTCAAATATATCTTTTGTCTTTATATTTAAGTTTTTTTTTTTTTTTT